GGTGTGTCCACGCCTCCCGGCCACGGGGACTGCAGAAGGGGTGGCAGGACTGGGAGACCACATGCTCATGCAGACACAGGGTTAGAGGTTAGTGACGGCCCCACAGCACACGTCCCACATGTTAAGGCATCATGGTTAGACGGTCACAGACAGCAATGGATGGACTGACCAGGGAGGAGCGGGAGCTGGAAGGATGGCTGACTCCAAGGCCCTGCATCGTGCACCCCACCCACCCTCACCCCGGAGGGGAGACAGACAACCGAAAAGGCCCAGGGGACCTGCTCCCCACTCCCTTGGGAAAGCCATGGCCTCCGGTTGGGTGAGGACAGGTGGGGACCCTGGAGGGACCCAAGGGGAGGGGGCCTGAGCTGCGGCTCCCCACCTGCAGCACAGGCAGAAGCAGCGGGACACTAGACTATCCAGGAGGCGGGGCGAGGCTGGGCAGGAGGCAGACGGGATGCTGGCAGCCTGGGCAGGGGCCCTGTCAGCACTTTGGTATGGGGTCGGGGTGGGGTGGGGTGGGGCGCGCACATCCCTCCGTCGTCCGCCCTGCCCGTCTCCCGGGCCAGGCTCAGTCCTTCCACTCCTTTTTGATGGTGAGGTTCCACTCCCAGGACAGGTGGTCAGTTTTGTCATCGTCTGTGAAGCGGGACTTGATGTTGTAGCTGCCGCGCGCCAGCATGCCCTTGGGCGCCTCCTCCATGGGCGTCAGGAACTCATACTCCTCGGCCCTGGGCCCGTAGCTGCCCACCATGTAGTCAGTCTTGTCAACTGCGGTGGAGGGGAGCGCGGTCAGGGCAGAGCGGGTGAAGGCGCACCCGGCCTCTCCTCGCTCCCTCCACAGCCCAGACCCCGGGGGCCACTGTGCTCTGCCCCTCCCCACAGCCTAGCCCTGGCGGTCGCCCCCCCCCACTCACTCTTGACGCCTTTCCGGTAAGTGTGTTGGATGTACTTCATGCCAGACACGATCTCACGGTTCACCTGCAGGGAGGGATCCAAGTGGGGCTCAGCCGGGCTCTCCAGCCCCAGCCTGGCCGGTCCCTGCGGAGCCGCCGCCTTACCCGGAAAGAGATCTTTATCCGATATTCCACACCCTCCTTCAGCACAAAGGACTGCTTCTTGAAGCTCTCCAGGTCACCTGTTGGGGAGGACATGGCTCTAGGAGGCTCAGCTAGGGGCAGCCTGCCCTCAGCCCCGCCCATCTGTGCCTGCCCCGCCCCCTCCCCCAGAGGGACCCAGGCCCCTCAAAGCCAAAGCCTTCAAAGACCACTTGGCCGCACTTCCTGTGTTCCCCACCAGAGGGCGCCAGGTCCCCAGAAAACATGGAAAAGAGGCACCTGGGCCAGGAGCCGAGGTCCCACCCACCTGTCAGGTCCAGCTCCAAGGGGCCTGGGGCCGTGCTGCACACCAGGGTCAGGCGGGTCACCACGACGTTGGGAACGTTGGGGTCTGCGGACACGGCCACGCGGCCCAGCAGGGCCTCCTTGTACTTGCGCAGGCTCTCGTCGTCCTTGTCCAGCTCCTGGATCTCCTGGATGCTCTTCTGGGCCGGGGGCTTGTAGTTGACCGAGTGCTCGTCCTCCTCGTTCTCGGCCGCAATCTGCGCCAGCTGCTCGGCGGTGGGCTCCTGCTCGGCCATGCTCACCTCTAGCTGGATCTGGGGCACCTGTGGGCGGGGGCACTGCGGCAGCCTGCAGGCACCCACCATGTCCCCCTCCCGCCCCTCTGCAGCCAACAAGGGTGGGCTCTGCAGGCCAGCCCCACCTGTGCCCGAGGGGAAGGGGCACCTTCCGGAGCAGGAGGGCAGCTGCAGCCAGAGCTTGTCAAAGGGCCCAACACAAGCTCCCGAGGCCCAGAGGGGACACTGTGAGGGGGCCCCACCCCAGGTGGGCCACCCGGGACTAAACGGGATCTGCCGCCGGCTCCCCGCCCGTCGGGACCAGCAGCCATAACTCCAGTTCCACGGCCAGGCCCCGGAGAGTCACCTCAAGTCCTGCTGCTCTTTCTAAGCTGCCCCGGCCCTCACGGCAAGGGACCCCTCCTGCTGGTCTGGGAGCCTCCCGGGACCAGGAGTGCCCCTTGGGCCCGTCCTAGCCCGGAGCAAGGCCGCTATGCAAGACGCAGGCAACAGGGCCAGGTAAGCCCCACAGGTTGGTCTCTAAGGGGCAGGGGAGCCCCAGGTGTCTGCCCCGGCTCTCCCGTGGGCGGGGTTGCGCCCTGGAGCTGGGACCGCGCTGCAGCAGGAGCAGTGCGTGATGCTGGGCCCCTCCGCCCTTCCCATCACCCGTGGGCATCGGAAAGCCC